CATACTTTCAGGAATGACGTGCTCCTTTTGGACATCAAGCCATCTTTTATTCCTTCAGATTTGAAATAGATTCATATTAAGTACTTTTTCAAAGTTCATGAAAATGCTGAAGGCCATGAAAATTTCCAAATGGAATGTATTAAAACTAGATCTGGAACAAGAGAATTTTTACAGTTGTGATGCAGTATCTTTATTGGGTTGTATACCCTGAAATACTTGGGTATCCTTTTAGGTTGGAGAGAGGGGAAAAAAAAAAAAAAACTCTGAATTATTTTCTCACGCTAATGTAGTCTTTTGTTTCAGCATTTCTATAAAACTGTCTTCCAGGATAGGCAGTCTAAGTTTAGAATGAATTAAAGAGGTAACTAATCAATCTTCTCTCTTTTTAGAAAGAATTGATTTCTTGTCCGTATAAACCAGGGACCAAAACAGATCAATTAAGGTGATTAAAGTACTTAAAGTAAGGATTTTACTCTGCATAAGTAGCCAGGCCTGGTTTGCAGCAGGGAGGAGGGATAGAAAGATGTTATTTTTTCAAAACAATAAGAAGAATTTAAAATAGCCATGCAATTTTATTCTATACTATTTCTTATGATAAACATTAGAGACTGAAAGGCTAGTCTGCCTGCTACTGCTCTTCTGTATTTGCTTTTAAATACATAATAGGCATGGATATGTTATAAGCACAAATATAAATCATTGAATTCTCAGTATGTTTCATTTATGTCTAATTATGAACTAGAGAAAGGGAATGAGACCTTAGTTATTAAAAGCAACTTATAAAGATTTTAGTTTTATGTTTTGGTTCAAAAGCAGGAAGTCTGGAAGACCACAGCTGGCGACCAAGTATTTTAATGCTTTTTCAGAGGGTTAGAAATGGCTGAAAGCCTGCTCCTTTCCAAACCATATCTTTATCAAGTAAGGCAAGAGATCAAAATGACCTGATCTTTAGTATTATGTGGTATTGGTGTTCTTTTTGTTGTGATTTTGTAAGACTTAGTTTCCCAGTGTCTGGCCCTAGTATAGATCCAGAGGTAGATCACCATAATAAGACATGACTTCATGCTATAATATGTTGTGTGATGACTCATTCACTTACTCTTGAAAATATTTGGAACTCCAAGCCGGTCTTGCACACACTGACACAGATCTGCATCACCTTTAAGGGGACACAGCGTAGGAGTTTAATAATTAACCCAGAGTGGCAGCTTGACCCCGAAAACACTTCTGCCTGGATGCATTGCAGCATCCTTGCATGGTGTATTGAAACCTGGCAAAGCAACCCTTGAAGAATATCTAAAGATCTTGGAACTGTGTGGGATCAAATGCTTTGAAATACATTTCCCTTGGGTTTAGGCTGGTGACTTAGGCCTAGGTGCTAAACCAGGTGGTGAAGGCTTCTTTAACTCGTAACAAACATGCAGCCTGAGGCCGCTGACAATCTGGTTATGTTAGGTCAGACAGTTTCCTTTCTGGGTCTCGGCTCTGACCTCCTGTAATGATGTAAATGGTGTTCTTTCCCATTGTCAGTATGTATCTTCTAAAGTAAACAGGATGCCAACAACTGTCTGACAGGGACTATGTAAGCAGAAACTCAAGTCTAAGGTCATCCCCTGTTATTTTCAGGCTCTGGGATTGAGAAGGATTGGAGAACAGCTCTAAACGCAAGCAGCATGCTTTAGCTGCAAGGAGTGTTGCCTGTTCTCTTAATCTGTTGTTGTGAAAGGGATTCTCTTGAAGCAACTTATTTACTTGGCCTCCTAAAAGTTACCACTCATATAAGTATTAGTCCTGTATTATCTTTATGCTTGCTAGTTGATTCTTTTCACATATGCTTTTTAATCTGTGCTGTGACATTGAGTTCATTTCTTCTTAATTATATCAGCCCTGCTGTGCCTATCCAAAAACCTTATTTTCTTTTGCCAAAGTTAATGATCAGTCAAGTGGGAGCTACAGGCGTAGTGTTAAAAATGCATTTGCCCCATGGGCCAAAAGATTTAAGATGCAGTATAAGTGCTGAAGAACTATACTCAGTATGAATTTTTTCGTAATTGAGGCGGGGGGGAAACCTGTCTCTTTCTTAAAAATGCTGACGTGGTACCTCACAGTCTTTGATTCAGCAGTTTCTTCTTTTTAATAAATGAGATTTAAGTGAGGCCTTTTTTTCCTCACACTGGCACCGTTTTAAGCAAGACTCTGTCACTGAATATCCATGCCTCAAACGCTAAGCAATGAATCTGTAGCTTACATCTTCCTTCCAAATTAACATATGGATATGAAAGCTGGGAAATGACACAAATTATTTTGAAAGCAAACACTTCAAGAAAGTACTGGGCTTTAGATGGAATTGCTTCTGAGCAAGACCATAGTTGCCTCCAAAGCTGGCTAGAAGGAAAAACAGAAGCATCTGGAACAAGTGAAAAGGTTCCAGGTATAATGTCCTCTGAGATGGGTGGCTCTAGGGGGAGCAGGTACAAGGGAATGACCTGCAGGACCCTTCAGGTACTACAGAAGGAAAGTAGGGGTAAAACTGTGCTGCAAGTGACATGAGATGGCAGTGAGAGCGCTGAAACTTAAACAGCAGTTTATGGCTTGTGAACACTCTACTGTAAATTAGCTAATGCTCTTATATTTATTTGATGCAGTTGTGTATCATTGAGGGTGCATTGTACTGCTCTGTCTCCATACTGAAGCAAACTATTTGTAGCACAACGTATTTATTGGTGGTACATTTGATTGGCTGCAGTTACTGCATCAGTAAGTTTGGGTGTCTGATCTGGTTCTGTTATTTCCAGCAGGAGGAAGGTGTCTGATCTGGACCTTGAGGATCAAGAAGCAGTGAAGGCCCTCAAATAGTTCAGCTAAATTGTCTGATGGGGAATAGTGCTTCTTGGTTCCAGAAACAATATCCTGCTCGCAGGAGCATGCTGTTTTGGACTTGAGGCTGCATACATTTCTGGTTCGACAGCATTTCTAGTTGTTCCTAGCTTGACAAAGGCTGTGGATAGATTTGGAGTTTTTTTTTCAGTCTGTAGATTTTTGTTTTGCAGAGTTAAAACAATAAATGTTTAATTCGAGGACTTGCTGAAGCAACAAGTGCCTCTGAGTAAAATGCTCTGTCCTAATGTGGAATCACGGATCTTGTAAACAGTGAGTGCTGGTGTTCTCCCCTGACTCTGCAGCAGTGACCAGCGTAGGCCAGTAGCTGCTTGCTGATCGTGAGCCCTTACCCAGGCTGCTGCATAATGGAAAGCCACAGGATGGTCAAGGCCCACCGCCCTTATGGAAGCCATAAATCTCCCCTGAAGGCTAATGTCTTCTAATGCTTCTTACTAAGTGGTAAATATCGCTGCTGCTGTGTTCCATGGAGATATGTTGATGTTCTTTAGAGCCATTAGAGAAATGCCTTCTGAAAGGTTTAACATGCATATATGTTAGGAAAAGAACAGGCTGCTAAAACAATTAGTGGTGGTGAGTTTTAAGCTGTGTTATGAAACGAGCACAGCTGTAAAAGCCAACTTTTTCTTGAGTTTCTTCAAACAGGAATTATTTTACTTTAATATACAGAACAGAAATATTTTAAAACAGCATTTTTTTTATGGCAAGTGTTCTTCAAATAACAGATCTACTTAATAGGGGCAATGAAGCCTTGCCCCATAAAGACTTCAGGATTACAGTGCAAACTACAGACAGCTCAGATGCTTGCTTCTTCTCCGTATTTGGTATGTCAAATTATAGTAGTATAACGGGAAACGCCGAAGTGGGATGCTGTTGCTGTGGCCATTTCACACATGCGGTGCAGATGCGGGCAAGGCTGTGGCCTTAGGGCAGCTGCCTGTGTGCTTCCGGCCGCCAGGTAACCCGTGACGCTCCCTTTGAGCGCCCTGGGGGCTTCACCGAGGCGGAGCCG